TATTATTTTCCTTATTATGGTAAACTCAGTTGCTATTCCAAGTTCATTAGGTGTCATTAATTGCTAACAATACATTCAGAATGTATGGTAAATGCAACTTAATTGAGAACTAATTAMCTTGCTATAGTTATCTCATTACATGCCAATTAAACTTTTTAATATTCCTTTTCAGTAGATAAAAGAATAGTAAAAATCCCAGGGACCCGAATCAGAGCTGGTGCTGCGGGGAGGGAGCAAATTCATTGCCTTCATGTCTAATGTATTTCCTAACAAGAGTTTTGCTTTGCATCCAGCTTTTTTGTAAGATTAAAGAAAATCAGGCAAATACAGGTTAATTTGCAAATGATTCTCACTGCAGAGGCTGAGAACTTGGAGAAAAAGCCTCTAACTGTGGTTTGCATGTTTAAGGGAGAGATTGAAGCAGCAGGTATCGGGAATTTCTGCATTGCTGTTTTAGTTCCTTGGCCAGATCAGTCTATGGGTTTTGGTAAATCAGCCTCCAGCTTTTCCCAAATCTGCAGATTGCATGTGGAGATGTTTACATACTATGTGCAATCCAGAGCCCATGTAGAGGCATCTCTTTGGCGGGCTTTGGGTCAGCATCCTTGTGCTTTGCAATTTCAGAGGCCTCTTCACAAATAAACTCCAGCTGACTGCACACAAGAGAGTTCAAGGCAGCTTCATTGACTGAACCTGCCCCCTACCAGCAATATGATCAAATCACATTTGCATAGTTTATATTTCTCCCCCTGCTCAGCRTGATTGTGTCAAACAAACAGAGGAGATGGAAATAACGGAAAAAAAGCGGAGCCGTATGAGTGCAGAATGCTTCCAAGGATGCAAAATAAGCAGCTGGATAAAATCAGGAATAACATTGCCTTTAATCTTCAACATAACTAAGCTCAGTTAACTTGGATGTTACTAATAACAGTAAAAGCTTGAAAAGAAAAGAAAAAAGAACTTCAGCCTGTAGCTGAACACTTAAGTGTGCAGTCTTGTCCTGAAATAATGTTTTTTTTTTAAAGGCAGAAAAACTTCAGAATCTCCTGTTAAAGTATGAGGTAACTATTCTGGCAATACTGGAGAGGAGGAGAAGATCACTGGAGGGGTTGATGATTAATCACTGTTTTATTTGCTCAGTGCCATAACTGGAGACAAGAGGATAGATTGGGTGGCCAGACACATGAAGCTTTGATGAAAGTAACTTTCCCGAGATAAAGGACCCCTGCTCCAGAAGCAAAGATTCCTGTTACTCTGAAATGTGTATCTCCTTGCAGCACCGTGTAAGTGATCTGGCATCAATTAAAAGAGTTTGGTTGTAAACCCAAGTTAGCATGGATTAATATAATTTGTTGAGGTCAAGAGTTATCCATTAGTCCGGGTGCTATAGCATGTTGTTGTTTTGAATCATCTACAGTAAAAGCAAATCATGCTTTGTCAGACAGAAGATATAAAATAGTGCCAGGAAAAGGGAAACGAAACAAGAGCAGGGAGGTAGAGCAAGCTGTCTTCATTCTTGCAAGTAAAGGAAAGGGCCACCTAGGAAAACAATCTCTCTTTTAAATCACAAGAAAAAGAGGGTTAGCACAACATCCATCTCATGTGGCTCTTCCAATAAGGCCATAATAAAATAGGGTGAAACGGCTGTTCTCCCAGTATTTTCTATATACCTTAAATAGGTAAGAAAGCAAAACTTGTCTGGAGATTCCCTCAGATTCCTCTCAGATTCTTGCTGAATTTAAACAATAATATTTGCCTTCCAGAACCATTGTCACCTAAGTAAATGGGACTCCCTGAGCGGAAAGGGTGTGATGTAGCATTATGGAAGTTACTAGTACATGTTAGAAGCCTCAGGAAGTCTTCACTATTTTTACCCAGGATGTGCTAAGATGGCAATACTTACATGGTGAATTATTCTGTGTTTTTACTGTGTGCTTTTATGTTGGTTTCATTGTGTGCTTTTATTATGTGCCTATAAGCTGCCGTAATGGAAGAAGGAGCAATAAGGTTTCATTGATCATTATATTCCCATATATACACAGAGTGGTGTTTTATTGTTGTTCGATTGTTTTTTAACATAGAATTGGGAAGAAATTCCAAACATTAGGTCCACTCCTTGAGTAATTAATCCATTCACAGCTTAATGCGTCTGAGTGGTCTTCAAATTGTCATAGCCACAGGTTTGCACATCTGGTAAGAAACCTGGAAACCTTGGTCACCCAAGGGTCTCCAGAAAGCTCAGTCGTGAACATTCCTACCTTTTGAAATCCCAAAAGCAGAAGCTTACTTGGAAATATCTTAGCTGATATTGGGGGAATTCTGAGTATGGAGTAAAGGGCAACCCCTTTGGTGGCACTGATGAGTTGGCAGTTGAATCGGAAGACAAAATGGATGGGTGTAGGTTTTTGTTTAAGATCTTTCTGATGAAATCCRATTTAGACAATACAGTCAAGAATTCCAAGATGTGACTGTGTCCTTCTTTAGGGCTTAATGTAGTGTGAAGTTAAACATCTGGTGAGTGCTTCTGTATTCCCCCTTGCTCCTCAACCACCATGCTGCAGCCTCATGCTACACTGCCACACACCCCAGTGCAGCTACACCATCCTGATGGAATTTAGGCTTTTCTCCGGTTTGAAATGAAGGTGATCCACGTAGGTAACATATTTGTGGTGGCAGGTGCAAGAGCAGCTTAGCTACATCCAAGGTAATGGGCTCTCAACGGAAAGCTGTAGGTATCTACTGCCTCACAGAATGAAGATCAAACTCCCTTGGTCTTTTAGTGAGTGGGGTTAGTCTTTATGCAGTTCCCACATATATTATAATATACTTTACAAGGGTCCCCAATGTTCATCAATGTAAATATTCATCAGACTGATGAACATTGCTGCTGATTTCAGCTGATATTGATTCCATTCGCTCTTTCATTGCTCACCTACCCTGGAGACAGTAGCTCATTGTGAAATATATCTTGCAGGGATCTCAATGATAACAAAGCTTTCTTTTTTTTTTCTTTTTTTTTTTTTTTTTCCTAATAGATTCTTGATAGCTATAGTATACACAATTCCTTGCAAAGGCCCATGAAAGAGATGGCCATTCCCCAATAAAGCACGGTGAGGTGTGCCCTAGAAGAGGAAACATTCAGGCTCTCTAGGAAAAAAGTTACAAGAATCTTAGCAGAGTCTTTACTGTAATTTATTTACAGAACGCAGCAAGGGAGATCTTTCCAGGTATCTCCAGATAAAACTCTTTCTCTTCCTTGATTCTATCACTCAATAAGCTCACAAGCTATGAAAGTATTTTCCCATCCTCTGTAGATTATTTTGTGTCAGGCATTGTCACTTGCTAAATATATTCAGGCATACCATTTACTGCAGCATGCAGGCTCAGGATCTTCGCATGGCTTCTTTCCCTCGAGGAATGCCATAAATAAATCACTAGGTCAGGAAGTCTGTTACATGCCTCTAGTCTTTCTCCCTCATGCTGACTCTCTTTCTCTCTCACACACACATGTACCCACTCCTTCTACATTTGTACAGAGCACTTAAACCTGCCAGGAGCATTATGTGCACTCTCCCCCTTCTGATGATAGCTCGCTGTGCTAGGCTCTGTCCAAGAGCAGATCAATCATTCATATTCCTCTCCACAAAGGACACTAAYGATCTAAGATCAGAGCAAAATCACATTTAGGCACAAGCTGCACTGAAGTTTTCTTTCCCAATGTGTATGTTCTCGCTTTGCTGATAAACCAGAATTTGGCAGAGGCAGCTTTTCAAGCACCTGGTGCCCCACAGGCCGTATATTCAGAATCTTTCTTTTAGGAAAGGGAGTAGGACTTTGAAAATACCCTGCTAAAGTTGCTTCCGCTGTGATTATGGTTTTCACAATTCATTTAGGTTTTTTTGGATCAACTGAAAGTGATTTTTCTTTGGGTTTGGTCGCCATAAGTCAAGTTTTTAGGTCAGTTCTCTGCTAGGAACTTAAGGTTTTGCTCCCACACAAGAACTAACCTACGTGCTATGTTTTCACTGCAGCTTCAAGCTGGAGCTATTGGGGGAATTCCTCTGCCCTACTTTACTCTTTGAGATTTTTTTTTTCTGAAGCCCAGGCAATTCACTCAACAGCTCTGCACACCATAAAGGGCATGAAGGAGGGTTGGGAGGTTACACTGAGAAATATTAGTATAAAAGAGGAGAGAAAGKCATTCATTACTGATGCGGGTGAAATGACAATAGCTATAGACAGAAATCAAGTGCCTTTTTGGAGCTGAAACATGGTTTCATATTAAAGGTCTTTTGCACAGCAGTTTTTAGCTATTAGCAAGAGATGGAGAGAAGAAAAAGCTCCATTTTTCACATTGCTCCTTAAGACTTTGTCATTTGTGCTAAATGAAACATATTGTTGAATCGTGTGTTTTCCTTGCAGAAAAGTTCTCATGTGTAAAGGACCATGTGTACATGTGATTTTTATTTTTTTGGTTGTTTGTTTYAATTGCTTGCATAATCTGTACATTTTACAAAGGCTTTAGATCAATTTTTTTTTTCTGGGACCACATAGCAAGATGATCAGGGAAAAGAAAGACAATCTTGTTGCAGATTTTCCTGTTCATACCGACCACTAAAGTCATGAACATTCATTCTAGTGGTTAGSCCCCATCTTCCCTCTTCAGATGATGGCTCCACAGAACGAGTCTCACAGTTTTCCCCTTCTGTCTTTCTCTATTCTCATGTCCTCTCTTCTAATCCTCTCTTTTCCACTCTGACTTCTCAACGACAGGGCAAAATCTTTTATCTAAAGTTCATGTTAAGGGGTTCCTCTGCATTTGATTTATGTGTTTACATTCTCCATCTACATAGAGAGTTGTTTATCCAAAGTAGTTTTCAAGATTTACCTCCTTGACATAGATGTGGATAATGATTGTGTTCCTGTCAAATACATGACAAGATTAATTGAGCCCGCCAACCTGAAACAGATGTAGATTCAAATATGATCTGTTCTTTAAGGACCATGAAATCCAGACAGAAGTACCATGATGAAGCTGCATTGAAGAAACAGACCTGAAAGAAATGCCACATCCTAGCAGCTTTGAACTGAGATGAGAGACAAAATTCAAAAACAGATGGGGTCTGAATTTGGCAGCTGAAACTTGCATCTGTTAATCAGCCACAATCTACCATTACAAGTAAGAAATATTTACTGGTTTGGATTTGTCTTCGGGAAATATGTTGTTAGATTTGAATCATTGCTAGTCCTATGCAAGAAATGTGTGTTTCATATATAACCTAGCACRTATGCATATTCTGAGTCACTGAAAAAGTGGCCTTGCTGAGTTAGTTTTCGGTATGGGGTAGGAGAACAGGGAGGAGGTGTGGGAGTTAGGGTAAAAGCAGAGAACAGAGCAGGTAGCTTGTGCCTTTTCTATTTCGATATTATCAGCAAAGGGCTTCTTTGATGACTGTGCAAGACAAAGGCTGCAGATGTGCAGGACACGCTGGCACTGCTCGCGCTTGCCCATAATGCTGACATGGTGATGGAACTTCGTGGGTTTGCTCCTTACAGCTGTGGAGTTTTGCACATGTTGAGGAAAGAAAACACAGCAATAACCGACCGTCTCCTGAGCTGTGACCATCTTCCAGCCTGTTTCTTTCTGCTTTGGATGACCTGCTCATCAGGCATGAGCAAAACCTGGCCAGGTTTGCGCCCTCTCTTAGGATGATGCTGCCAGCCCAGGCTGAGCRAGAGTGAAAATAGAGAAAAGAGGGAAAAAAGGGTGAGTGTGTGTGTATGTGTGTGTATAGAAACACACACGTGCGCACATGCACACCCAACAGTGCCACCCTGCGGCTTGCTTACCACAAAGAAAGGGATGATGCAAACTGGGGATTGTAGCCAAATGCCATTAACATTGTACAAAAACTTCAGATTTAGCTCATAGGCGGTTCTGCCTCCCCACACTGGAGGTGCCCAGCTTGACATGCACACATGGCCAGGCTATAATAGAGTGGGTAGAGTGCCAGCTATGCAGATGTATTTGGATATATCAATACCTTAACATCAGGTTCAGATAACTGGCAATTTGCGATTGTCACACATTTTCTACCTTTTTCGTTTTTYTTTTTTTTTTGTGCTTGGTTAATTGTGAGGGGGAGGACGACAGGCCTTATCTCTTGTGACTAGTGGTGGCAAAAACTGAAAAATTGTTTTCATTACCAGGTGGAAGGCTTTTCACATGCAAATTATCAATATCATTGTGATGTGGCATTTTTATTAATCCAAAACAGCTTATCTGACCAAAAAGAAAGAAAGATCATTCTTGTTTTATATCAAACATTCTGCTCTGACAATGGGAAGTCGTATTTGATGAAATGTTGCATGGATCACACCATTTTGCAATTTACTGCAGGAGAAAAAAAATGGAAAGGACTAATGGGCRGTGATTTTTTTGCTTTTTCATTTGGACACTTCTCCCAAATGCCAGTCAAATGTAAGCATTTTAACTTCTGTCATTCAACATCAAAGAAACAAATTTGTTTTTGTTGCTGTGCATATTCTTTCTCCCCATGGTGTGCTGTTCTCCTTCAGACACTGGGAAAATAAGGTCATGTTCCCTACTGATTCCATCCCTTTCTATTGATTTTACTTTCTTAAAATCCTAATAGAGCTTGAAATTAATACAATTTAATTTTCCTTTCTCCCTTTCTTGTGAACCACCAAAGCTTTGTGTTGCTGCTACACTGCTCTGGGTAGGACCATGGCAGACTCATATAGCTTTGTCATATGGCAAAAATCCTCGAGAAGAAAAATCAGGGAAGGCTTCAGTCCTTCAATTAAGTAAGGGCTCCCCACTCCAGCCAAGGAGATGAGGGGCAATGATGATTTACGAGTCAGTTCCACGAGGAACTGGGCAAATGCAGTTTCACTGGCACTAGGCTGTGTCCAAATGCCTGAGCTAGGGCTCTGTCTCAGCTCTATCTCAACATTGTCATAAAAGCAAAATATTCATGTGCCCATGCACATGATATCAACATTTGAACATCTCTAAGAAGAATCCCAGTTCACCCAGCAGGTAGATGAATACRTTTAGCCATAGCAATGGACTTCTCTGGGATGTGAGTGGAAAAGACTTACCAAGGACAAATAAAGTCAGGTAAGGAACCCACATGCTTGGCCTTCAGCCAGTTGCATAGAAGCTATTATTCCTAGATGTTTCTCCATCCGTATGCAACAAGGCTGTTTTGTTTTTTATACCAGTGTGATGTTCTCAAGTCCCTCCATCTGAGCTATGCTCCGTACAGGGACTGAGGAGAGCGTTCAGGAGAAGATGGAGGGCATTGAACATACTGAATCAGCAACGCTTGCTCCTGCTAATAAACTGATTGGGAAGGAAAAGACACATCATGCCCCGTGGGAGGTGCCTGACTTTYGCAGGAGGCCCAAGGTTTTCACTGGAGAAAGCACCTAGAGGCAGGTTCCTTGCCAATAATGAGGCAATGAAATGCTGCGACCCTGCTTAAAACGAACTCCCATTCGTCATGCCTATTTATCACATCAGGCTACTGTTTAGGTGTGTAAAATGGGCTGTAAACTTTGTTCATTTTGCCTGACAGATATGATAAAGGTTATGTGCGTTTTACAACACTGCAAATTTGAAGGAGAAAGGTCCCCTGAGACCTCTCACTGCACTAGGTCTTATCATCTATCATAGCATAGGAAAGACCTAGCCTGTCATCTTGTCCATTCCTCCCTTTGCTTGTTCAAGTCCCCGTATTTTTCTCAGTGAAGCTGTTCACATAGATTAGAAACATCTTTAAAAATGTATTATTTTTGCACTCTCTGCATATCTGTGCCTTTCATATCCGCATATTAAATTCAACACCTCTCTGTCGGTTGTTTGTAAATGTCCCTAGGTGTTTAACTTTGATTCCCGGAGCCCTCAAAGCTATTGTTGGGGAATATGGCTATTACACATTCCTGATATTTCTCAAAGGTCAAAAGAAAACGTAAAATGCCTTTTCTTTTCTCCCTTCAAAGCAGCAAAATGCAATATTGTTCTGGTGCTACCTTTGCCATCATGCTAGGATTTTTTTTTTCCAGTATACCATATTGTATTTACTGCAAATGTTCTGGAGTGGAAAATTATTTCTCAAATTATTAGAAACTAGAAGACATAATAGCCTTTTATTCTGTTTCAGAAGATATTATTCTACCACAGCAGTCTGTTTTTGTCAGTTTGCTCTTATCTTCCTGCAACCCATCTTATGAATGAGACATAAAACTGTGGTTCTGGATGCTTATGTACCCAATCCCGCAGCACTTGTGCACCTGCTTAAGTAAAATCCTGTGTGCAGTCATAGTGGATTGAATGCACAAGGACTAGAATCTGAGGAACTATGGCCATTGCTCTRAAGTGGTTTGTATTTCTTCAGGACAGAGCATTGCATGAAGCTAGGATGCATTATCACCTCCTCCACCAAACCTGGCAAAGAGCTCTAAARGATGGTCTCAGAGTAAATGCAGACTAAAACACACTCTCCTGCAGTCAGGACCTATTATATTCATTTCTAGCTACAGCAAGACTCCTATCTTGCAGAATTTAGCCCTCAGCAATGGAACAAGATTGCCTGGCTTTAACCACCAAGTTGCACTTCGTAATGTGATGTTACTTCAGTTAATACCAGTGTTTCCATTGCCTTAAACAAGAGCAGTGTGTAAGGCACCTGTCTTTTAATATGAGCTACTCGTCAGATAAAGAAGCGTCTCAGCAGGTAGAAAGATCTGTGGCAAACTGATTCCCACCGCAGAGGGAAGAAAACTCCACGTTTTGCTCAGCCTCTATTGATTCTTCAACTGGATTTAGCCACCTTGATTGCCAACTTAAAGATTAGGTGGAAAATGCTGAAACACCACCAAGGATGGAGCTGAAAAAAGATGCAGGAGCAGATATGGCTGCCTGTATTCTCAAGGGCTTGTAAGTCATGGGAAACCAACCACATTAATGTGCTTCTAAATTCCAGGGGACTAGAGCTCTGCTTTGGTGCCTCTCAGGAAACCTTGACACCAGCAAGGTCACCTCTTCAAAGCCAGCTTCCTTCCTCCTCCTTGAGCTGGTCACACTCCTGTGAAACTCCAGAATACAGCAAGCAAAAGAAGTTGAAGAAGAATAGAAGAAAATGAGTGTTTTCTGAGATTGATACAGCTTGATAAATTATGAGGCTACTTACACCATCTAAAATCACATTCTCCCCAGGGGTCTGAACAKGCTCTATTAGAAAAAGCTATATAGCAGACTGTAAATTTCCCATACATACTAGAGCGTATTTATACCAGATTCACCTATGTTGTGTTTTTTACCTATAAACGCAACAACGATTTGTTTGTCTCCTCTTTTTGCAGGATCCCCMGGAAAGCACATGGACTAATCTCGATGAAAAGTCCTCCACCCAGCTTGCTTTCCTCTGCCTGTGCACCTGTAACTATCGGCACAGCTCTGCAATACTCCATAATACTACACACCGCTAGTGGAGAAACCCCATGGCCTAAACAACACTGTTTTCTGATGCAAAAAGCCATACACGGAATAGAAAATGGCAGCGCTCCAAGTGGCCCCAGTTAATAGCTCGGTTTTGCTTAATGGTGACTCCCATTCAAGCTAAAGATGCTGTTTTAAATATGTAAGCAATTAGTATCTCTCTCGCAACACATCTGTGCTCCTTATATCTGCTGCATTATAAATCCACTGCCTCCCTCTCCAGCTTGGCTGTGCATCTATCACCAGACATTCCCATCTTTAGCAACTTTCTGGTYCAAAATAATGGTATTTGGAGTGGACACATTCGGCCAAGCTGGCCTCGGCTAACCCCTTTGCCAGGCTGGCCTTTCTTCTCTATGGCAGGAGCTGGAGTAACAGGTAACAGTGACTCAAGGAAAAGAGCTCTTGGTCTTTTTTCTTTTTCTTTTTTTTTTTGGGGGGGGGAAGGGAGGGAAGTGAATTTTTTTGGTCCAATCAGTCCCCTTTCCCCCTTTTCCTCCTCACATTCATACAGTTTCCTCTCTTTGTGTGCCAGAAACTGCAGCCCCGGTCTCAGCAGCCTTTTCTAGCCATAGCAAAATCCAAGATCATGCCGAGAGGCTGGATGCAGGAGTTGTGAGTGTGGCAGAAGCACCTCTAGGTGCCTCCAATGTGGAGCTCCTTGTGCATTCTCTGCTTAACGAATCCTGCCTGGTCCAACTTGAGTGAGATGGAGAGAGTCATGGCAGGGCGGTTGCGGTTATCGCAGTCTGCTTTGAGAGTGCAAAAATAACTGTTGTTACCATAAAGTGCACGAACACCAGCAGAGATGCGTACAATTAACTATTAACCGCCTCCAGTTACAAAGCACGGCTCATCCCCACAGCTCTCCGGCGAGGAAGGGCATYCCCATCCCCGTCACGGCGGTCAGCACGAGGTGCCCCGTGCCCCCCGCACGGTGCTCGGGTGCCTCGGGGCAGCGGCTCCGCGCGACCCGTGGGGAGGAGCGGCCCCAA